AGGAAGCGTGTGAGGGGGCAGCTAGGAGCAGGCCTGGCAGCAGCTGCTGACGAGCTGATGGCGCCAGCGGAGGGCGACGAGGCTGGGGCTCGCACGAGTGCGAGGGGAAGGTGGTGGCCCCGAGGCGCTGCCGAGGGCATCCTCGAAAAACACAAGAGGCAGAGGTGGCGAGCATGGAGGAGATCGCAGAGGGAAGGTGGTGGCCCCGAGGCGCTGCCGAGGGCATCCTCGAAAAAAAAAACCACAAGAGGACGAGGTAAGCCCTGGCCACGCAGAGGCAGGGCGCGGGCTGGTTGGAGTCGAGGGCCAGAAGGCGAGGCCGCAAGTGCGCAGCGCCGAGGCCGACGGGCGCCCAGCGGAGCAGGGAAGGTGGTGGCCCCGAGGCGCTGCCGATGGCATCCTCGGAAAAAAAAAAAAAAAAAAAAAAAAAACAGGAGGCTGAGGAAGGCGCGAGGCACTCAGCAGGGGCGCACGCGCTGGGCGTCGCAGTGCACCAGCAGACTAGGCGGGAGGGCGGCGCCGCTGCCAGCTGGAGGCCAAGCGAAGTGGGAAGGTGGTGGCCCCGAGGCGCTGCCAACGGCATCCTCGAGAAACCACAGGAGGAGGACTGGCCTGGTGCATCAGGCCAGCAACAGCGCACAGAGGGAAGGTGGTGGCCCCGAGGCGCTGTCATACCCAACGACATCCTCGCAAAAAAACCACAGGAGGGCCAGAGGGCGAGGCGGGGCACCCTCGGCAGCGTGCTGCCGCCTCCGCCCACGCTGGCCGCAGCGGCCTCTGGAGGCAGCCTGAGTAAGTGCCGCGTGCAGCACGGTCCCGACTGGCATGACGCGCTGCAGGGCAGCGGGATGCAGCGCGGTCCTGAGGCGGGGGTGGTGGCGCAGGGTGGGCATGGAGGCTGCCCAGGAGCTCCCCCCCCATGCTGGGACTGGCAGCATGCGTCCGAGCCAAGCACCGTATGAAATCGCGGGTAGCCCCATTCAGGTTGAAGCGGCTGCAGGGGCATGCGTGAGGCCCCCCAGCCTCTGGGGAGGAGAGGCCGCCTGCCTCCCGCGGAGGCGCTAGGAGGTGCGCGAGGAGAGGCTGGGCGGCGGTGCAGGCGAGGTGGAGCGCGAGGGCACTCGCGCCAAGGATGCGCTCACCGCGGCCTTCGCCACCTTCCTGGAGCGCGCTGAGGAGGAGTGGCTGGGCGTGTACCAGCTTGAGGGCCAGAGGGACAGGCGCGCGGGCAGGGCGCAGGGTTTCTCCACCAAGCGGGTGCAACGCAGTGGGATCCAGGAGCCGCGGGCGCCGAGGCACACGCCTGAAGCAGCGTGGATGGCCAGAGTCACGCTCACCAGCTCGCCAAGCGTGACGTCGACGAACGCGGCAGACAGTTCGACGAGTGGGTCGACAGGCAGCTGAAGGGAGGAGCAGGAGGGCTGCATGCAGTCACGAGGGTGGCTGTCGGCTGGCAGGGCAGCGATTACAGTTCCGCGGCAGGCCCCCACAGCCTCTGCCAGGAGCTGGGCGCCCTCGAGCAGGAGTGGGGCAAGCTATGGAGGGTGCAGTGCGCCCATGAGGAGCTGGTGTGGCCAGACGACCTAGGCGTGCGGCCTGGTAGGCCGACGGTGGAGGAGATAAAGGCACTGCTGCGCTCGCTCAGGAAGGGCACCGCGGCGGGCTTCGAGGCAGTCAAGCCGCGGCAGTTCCTGGAGCTGAGCGACGAGGGCATTGAGACGCTCATCGACGTCGTGATGGCCGTAGAACTGGCGGCGGAGTGGCCGCAGCTGAGCAAGAGGATCGTGCTCCTGGCCAAGGGGCTAGGAGGAGTGAGGCCTGTGGCCATCGTCCACGTGCTCGCGAGGATTCAGACGAGGCTGCGCAGGCCAGCGGTGGTCGAGTGGGAGAGCAGGAGCGATCGGCCCTTCTTCTGGGCGTCCAGAGGGAAGGGCTGCGAGAAGGCGGTCTGGCAGCCAGCGGTGGAGTGCGAGTGGGCCACGGCCAAAGGGCGCGAGGCTGGCGATGCCTCCAGCTGGGTCGCCGCGCTGGTGCTCCTGGCCTTGCCCAAGGCGTTTGAGCAGGTGCAGCACGGGCAACTCATTCGTGCGACAACGAAGACGGGGTTCCCCTTGTGGCAGCTCAAGCTGCAGGTCAGCCTGTGCAGGTCAGCCAGGTGGCTGGCGCGCGACGAGGCGGCCAGCGACGCCATCTACACGGAGCAGGCTGTGCTGCCAGGGGATGGTCTGGCAACGCTCATGCTCAAGATGTTGCTGCTAGAACCGCTGGACAGGCTGCAGGCGCTGGTACCCACGGTGGCCCTCTCGGTGGTTGTGGATGACATCATCATCAGGAGGGTCGGGGGCATGCAGCGCGTCGCCGAGGACACCGCGACGGCGGCCAGGCACCTCAAGGTCCTGCTTGGCGAGGTGGACATGGCGGTCGCGGTCAAAAAGTCCAGGGCAATCGCCAACTTCCCTGATGCGAGGCAGGAGCTGGAGAGGAGGCTGCGCAAGCCGCTGGGGGTGCTGGCGGTGCGGCAGGAGCGTAACCTGGGCGTCGACTTCAGCGGGGGCAAGAGGCTGGGGCGCGCGGTGCGCGCGGGCCGCTACCAGCAGGCGGCGCAAAGGCTGAGGGAGTTCAAAGTGCTGAAGACGGTGAAGGCCAAAAGGCTCGCAACGAAGGGGGTTGTGAAGAAAGGGTTGCACCCTAGCATCGGCTACGGCACGACTATCACGGGGTGCGCGATGGGGGAGCTGGACCGAGCCAGGACAATAGCGTTCCTGGCGGTCTCCAGCACCACGGCCAGCAAGAGCAGGTCGCTGGGGCTCATGATTCAGCCTGGGCTTGACCCGACCATCGACGCGACCTGCATGCCCATGATGATGCTGCTGCGGGCGGTGTGGGAGAACTGGGTGCCCATCCACATGGTCGCCCGCTGCCTGCAGGACAAGCGGGCAAACACCTGGGCTCACGTGCAGGGGCCGTGCGTGGCGACGGCGATGTCGCTGCGGAGGATCGGGTGGGAGGTGCAGGCAGCCAACTGCTGGGTCATGGGCGACGGCGACATCATCGCGCCCTTCGACGTAGCGCCGTGGGTCGTGCGCAAGCTGGTCATGCGAGGGGTGCAGAGGTGGCAGTGGAGGCAGGTCGGCAAGGACCCTGGGTGCGGTCACCTGGCAGCAGGCGGGGAGATCGAGCCGCTGGTGAGGCTGACCACCACAGGGAGAGTGCTCCACCCCGAGGGGCCGCAAGGAGAAGGGGCTGGCAAAGTGAAGGTGCGGCTCACGCAGCGCGAGGTGGCGTACCTGCGGTCCCTGATCGTCAACGAGCAGTGGACGCAGGCACGGAAGGCGGAGAAGGGGCTGGCCAACTGCTCGGGGTGTCTCAGGTGCGGCTTGGAGGGCACCCTGATGCACAGGCACTGCGATTGTGTTTGCTGGCGAGCGGTCCTGGCCCTTCCCCCAGATCTGGAAGACCTCAGGAGGAGATGGCAGGAACCTGGGATCCAGCTGCTGCTAGAGAGGTGCCTGTGGCCAGTGCCGAGGGGGTTGCGCAAGCCTCAGGCCAGCAACCTGGTCTGCTGGAAGGGCGGCCATGAGGGAGGCGTTCTGCCGGCGGGGGAGCTCTTCCTGGACGGCTCGGTGTTCGAGGCGGACTACGGCGAGTTCACGTCGGCGGGCTGGAGTGCAGTCGCGCTGAGGGAGGAGGAGGATGTGTACAGGGCCTCGATCGCTGGGCAGATGGTTGGCCCGTACGCCGGCATCAACGGCAGCGAGCTCACGGCGGTGATCATGGCCCTGAGGTACGGTCAAGGCCACACAGTGCTGGTGGTGGACTCGAAGTACGTTTACGACGGCTTCTACCAGGCAGGGCGCATGCGCACGACGGCCAGCGGTTATTCCTGGGCGCACATGTGGAGGCAGGCTGGGGCACTGCTGGATGAACGTGGAGGGCTGGGCGGCGAGGTACACCTGAGGTGGATGCCCAGCCGCAGCACGAGGCAGCGGGTGGCGGCTGGGAAGGTGTCGTACCGTGACTGGTACGGCAATCGGCTGGCCGACCGCGCGGCCAAGGCGGCGGCCGATGCTGGACGACTGCCTGGCCACGAGCGCCTGCGCCTTGCTCGTAGCCGTGGCCTAGTTGACAGGGTCGCCCTGTGGTGTACGGCAGTGGGCACCTGGGCCGACGGCAGCGACACCACGCATGGCAAGGTCAAGCAGCAGCTGGCTCTTCCTGAGAGGCGCACAGCAGCAGCGGAGGTGGCATGCACCTGGCGAAGGCAGCCTGGGCAGCCCAGGTGGTGCGAAGTCTGCAGGTGGGAGGAGAGTGGGCGAACGCCCAGGCTCCATCGTGGCGGACGCGGTGAAGGCCAACAGGAGGCTGAAGCAGCAGGGGCTCACAGCCCATGACCTGGTGGTCATCCGCCCCACCGTGGACGAGCAGCTGGAGCGCAGGATGCCGCTGGTCGCCTGCCGCCTCTGCGGGATCGCGGGCGCTGCCAGGGCATGCGGCTTCAGCGGAGAGTGCAAGATGCCGCCTACCGCGTCGGGAAGTGCGGTGGTGGCCAAGCTGAAGCGGGGGCTCGCGCCCCGCATTGCGAGGGTGGTCCCTGTCGTCATCGCGCGCCTCGACGGCCTCTGCGGGGAGCTGCTGGACGCGGAGGTGGCTGGCGAACGGGCAGATCAGGCAGCGGCGGCCAGTACCGCGGCGGCAGGAGCGGGCGTGGGTGTGCTGGAAGCTACGCCTGCAGACCTGCCTGGCCACGGCGGAGGAGTTAGCTCGCAGAGGATGGCCGCAGAAGGGGCGCGCCTGGAGGTGCGAGCGAGCAGAAGACCAGCGGCACAGAGGAGCTCGGAGTGGACGTGCTGCTGGAGACCAAGCTGGAGGAGCCGCCTGAGGGCGGCAAAGAAGGAGGTGCGCCCCAGCGGCGCAGCAGGCGCGCGTGCAGCGCGGCGCCGTCGCTGCAGCGCGAGGCCAAGGTTGCCAGGATCCAGGAGGAGCACCAGCCGCCTGCAGGTGACTCTGCTGCTCGATGCGAAGCAGGGGCTGCGGGCCGCGGAGGCGAGGACGAGGAGGCCAGGATGCAGGAGGGGACCCAGCCGCCTGCAGGCGGCCTTGCTGCTCGAAGCGAAGCAGGGGCTGCGGGCGGCGGCGGAGAGTGGCCGAGGCCTAGGCGCCGCGCGAGGGAGAGAAGCTGCTCGCCTGGCATGGCCGCCAAGGTGGCGAGGCTGCTGCGGGCGGCAAGAGGTGAGGCCGAGGCCTGCCTGACGGCCTCGGGCGCGTGACCGCGCCGAGGCGAGAGCGCGCGCGGGGGTGGCTGTGGATCGACACAGCTGCCTTACCCCGCGGGCATCATTCTCCTCCTCCTCCTCCTCCTCCCCCTTACTCCCCCTTACTCCCCCTTACTCCGCCCTTCCCTCCCCCCCCCTGTAAACGGCGTCATCTTTCTCCTCTTCCTTCACCGCCGCCCGTGCGCCGAACCCTGTTGTGCTCTTGTCCACGGGCTCGGACGCATGCATCTCTCCGGTCGCCTCGCCAAAGCCACAACACCCGAGAGACAAACGAGGGCTTCTGAGCCCGACCCCGTCCGCATCTGCGGACGCGCGGCTCGAGCGCCCCCCTATAGCATTCTAAGCGGGTTTCGGTCCGCGGGGGGGGGCCCTGAGGCTATCCACTCTGCTACAGTCAACCGGTATAGCAAGGATGCGCGATGAGGATGCACGGGCCTTGGCCGCCGATTTCGAAGCTTCTCGAACAGGGCGCGGCCAACGAAGTGGTCACGGATGGACTGAGGAGGCAACGATGCAAGGATACCCTTGGGAAGGCTGCCCATCCTTACTATGCGGGTTGACTGTACGTAAAGATAATGGAGGGAGCTGGTTTGGGCGAGTCTGTTCAGGACGTCGTCGAAATCTGCCTGGTCTGGCCCCTGGTTTGGCCGCGCGCGCCCCGCTGGAGACAGCCCCAGAATCTGCCTGGTGCGGTCCCTGGTTGAGCCTGGTCTGGGCCCAGTTTCGCTGGAGACGCCTTTGAAATTTGCCTGGTTTGGCCGTGGTTTGGCCTGGTTTGGACCCGTTTTGTTCGCCTGAGGCGTCTTTAAACTCTGCCTGGTGTGGCTATCGTTTGGCCTGGGTTGGGCCCAATTCCGCTTGAGACGTCCCCGCAATTTGCCAGCTTTGGGCCTGGTTTGGCATGGTTCTGGCCCCGTTCCGTTTGAAATGACCTCACAACGTGCGGAGGTGATTCGAACTGGCAGATTGCACAAGAGAAACCAACGCAATTCGCCCAGTCAAGGGCGTGGGCATGCCCACGTTCGCTTCGACACTGAACGGGTCATTCATTGACACAGGCCGCGGTGGATGTGTTTAAACCGAGCCAAACGCACTGTCTGCAAGGAAGACCCATGGTGGCCCACACATAGCACGACTGCTTTACAAAGTGACGGGCGGCATGGGCGTGGCCGTGCTTAACACGCTGTGAATTGGCATGGGTTCGCGTGGCGGCTGCGCCGCAGCCGCCACGCGCACCCATGTCAAATTTTGTTTTGGTCCTAGTCACATCGTCTTGGGCACGTTTTGCGTTACCGTTTTTGTTCTGTTTTGGTCGACCGCAACGCCAGAACTTGAAAACGGAAAAAAAAACCGCCCCCAGCGTTTTTTGAGAACAACTAAGGGCTGCGGGCCATCAAATGCGCCGCGCCCTCCAGCATCTGCAGGCGTGGCGGCAGCAAAGCGGCAAGATGGCGGCCTCCCACCTGGGAGGACGGCAGTGCAGGGACGGGAGGCGGAGGGGGCCCGCACCACAGCCGCGGTACGCCGCCGGGCAGCCTGAGCTGCCGACGCTGTGTCCGCCTTGGATGGCAGCCTCGAACGTGTGAACCTGTGGAGGGGGGGGGGCGGAGAAGGAGGAGGAGGAGGAGGAGGAGGAGAGAGGGGGAGAGAGAGAGGGGGGAGAGAGGAGGGAGGAGGAGGAGGAGGAGGAGGAGGAGGAGGAGGAGGAGAGACGAGGAGGAGGAGGAGGAGGAGGAGGAGGAGGAGGAGGAGGAGGAGGAGGAGGAGGAGGAGGAGGAGGAGGAGGAGGAGAGAGGAGAGAGGAGAGAGGAGGAGAGAGGAGGAGAGAGGAGATGGAGGAGGAGGGGGGGGGAGGAAAAGGAGGAGGAGGAGGAGGAGGAGGAGGAGGAGGAGGAGGAGGAGGAGGAGGAGGGGTTGGGGAGGGGGAGGGGGAGGGGGGGGCGACACACGCACATTTCGGAGGGAGGGCTTGCACGCAACAGTTATGCGCCCACGGTGTTCAAAGGGTGCAGCTTACGTGGCCCCCCCATTAGATCGCCCCTCCTCCCAGTACGCATCGCCCGAAACAAGCCAAACACATATCGGGAGCGGCCAAGAGGGGGGTGTCCAAGAGGGGGGGTGCAAATCATGACCGGCGGCATGTGCGCGGCCCAGCGGGGGGGCCAGGGACGTAATGAAATAATAAGAAGAGGCACCATGATATCTGGGGAAATATCATGGCCCACGCCATGATATCCACCCCCCTAGTCATCACCCCCCTCTTTTCCGCCCCCGAGCAGACATTCAGGCGCAGCACCATGCTACTGTACGTCTGGGCATTCCCGTTGCCAAGGCTCCCAAAGAGGTGGTGGGAACAACTTGCAGTAGAGGTTGGGAAAATGAGAGGAGCTGGAGGACGAGAAGATGCCGGAGGGGACTAGGGGGAGAACGACGACAGCGACGAGAACGAGGATGACAACGATAACATCGGAAATGAACGGGTGAGGTGGCAGTGAAACGGAGAGCCCCCCACCGGCCCCACAGGGAAATAGGTTTCGGTTTCGTGGTCTTGTCGTGTGTGCGAGCGAGGCGAAGCTGCGTGGGTGAGCGAAAGGAATGAACCTTCCCTGGCTACCTTCCCCGGCTAGGGCGCCGTTAGGGCGCCGCTGGGACAAAAGACCGGCACCCCTCCGGTTGTCCGGCGGTGGCCCGGGATATCCCGCAAGTGTCCCACTGGTGTCCCGCGTGTGTCCCGTAGTGAGATTGATAGTGAGATCGATAGTGAGACCGATAGTGAGATCGAAAGTAAGATCGGCAGTGAAAACTATGGTAAGATCGATCGTGATATCAATCGTGATATCGATAGTGAGATTGATGGTCAGATCGATAGTGAGATCGATAATGGTATGGATGGTGAGATCGGTAGTAACATTGATAGTGGGATCGACAGCCATATCGACAGTAAAAAGGGTAGTGACATTGATAGTTAAATCAGTTGTGAGGTCGAGTGTGAGCTCGATAGTGAGATCGATAGTGAGATTGGCAGAGAGATCGAAAGTGAACTCGATAGTGAGATCGATAGTGATATCGATTGAGAGAGACGTTGGTTCCTCCCCCGCGAACCTCCTTATCGCCCGAAGGGTGGTCGTATAGGTGCGCACCATATTGTCAAGCTTGGTCGTCTCCAACCCACGCGCCGCGCCGCGCAACGTGATGTGTACCTCTTTCATGTGTCCCCTCCACCACCTACTCATCCGACATCATCCTCACCATGTGCTAAGGCTGAGACATTCAAGACCTGTGGAGTGTGCAGCCTTGGACGCTCTTTCGGATAACGCGTGCCTATCTGCCCTGGGCTATGTCTCCACCAGGGCCTACAGTAGCACAACAAGATCACAGGGGGCTTGTAGCCCGACGTGGCTTGTGACCTTAAGCAAAGCCTGGTCACACCACCAGGGTCTCGGAACGACCCGAGAACAAAAGTGCAACCGAAACCATTGGACACGAGGCTGTGTTTAAGAAGGCCTCATCTTGCAGTGTCCCGATCCCGGCTCGTTCCCGAGGGGGCAAGACGCTGCAGCGGGGAACCTCGCGCCCCAGGCTCGGGCAGAGGGGACTGGGGCAACATCGCTTCCTGCTGGAGAACTTCTTTTTTTTTGGGGGGGGGGAGGGGGAACGTTAGGGGGGGGGCTGGCTCAGGGGGGGAACATCGCTCTGGAACCGGCGAGGCACCGCCGACAGGCCAGCGACGGGCCCCCCAATAACAGCGAACCCGCGCAGCCTCCTGGGCGGGGTGGGCCCTCGGGCCCCGCCTCGGTGGCGAGTGGACGAGTTGGGGCTCGAGGCGCCGCCCCCCCTGAGCATGCAGGGGAGGCCGGCCCACGAGAGAAGCCTTCCGCGGGAAGCCCAAGCCTGCGACCCCAGGACGTCACCATGGATTTCTTGCGTGGGGGCATCACGCCCTCCACAGCAGAGCCACCGGAACCCAGGAAACCCGTGGGCACCCCGGAGGCAAGCGGGGCGTGTCTCCCCCTCCTCCTCCTCTTCCTCCTCTCCTCCTCCTCCTCCTCCTCCTCCTCCTCCTCCCCCTCCTCTCTTCCTCCTCCCCTCTCCTCCCTCCTCCTCGTCCTCGTCCTCCTCCTCCTCCTCCTCCTCCTCCTCCTCCTCCTCCTCCTCCGGCATGGGCCTCCTCCGGATTCGCCCCTGGCGTTGCCCCCGAGGGAGGCGAGCCGAGGGCGGCGGAGGAGCCATCTTGGAGTGCCCCATGCGGGTGACGGCCAGCCCGCGGTCGGCCTCCTTCTGCTTCACCCACACCACCCCCTGCGCCTGCGCACCCCCCCCGAGGGAGGTGGGGGGGGAGGAGGAGGAGGAGGAGGAGGAGGAGGAGGAGGAGGAGGAGGAGGAGGAGGAGGAGGAGGAGGAGGAGGAGGAGGAGGAGGAAGAAGAAGAGAGGAGGAGGAGGAGGAGGAGGAGGAGGAGGAGGAGGAGGAGAAGGAGGAGGAGATTGAGATTGAGATACCAGTTGCGAGTGCAAGTCTGGTTATCGCTTAAAGATGGGCCCCTGGTCGCTGCCTCAGTGGGTCAGCCTTGCCACGGGTCTTAGGGGGGAGCCCCTCTTCTAAGCGACGGAGGTACTCTCGGCCTGTACGAGTGGGGTGTATCGAACACGGCCTACCCAACGAACAAAATTGTTGGTCTGCTGTGGCCCCACACGAGCCGCACAACCACACTTTCAAAAGGGAGTGATAGTTAAGGAGGTAGGTTGGATGCAGTCAGCCCCCCGCTGCATGAATAAGCAGTCCTTGGGCAGGGGCGAAAATGGTCCCGTGTACATTAACGAGTTCCCCACAGGGGGTGAGTTTCCACTCCTCGACTGTAGCGAGCGACGCCGAGTTAGAACATCTCAAGCATTTGCGCTGACACTCCGAGAGCCGATGAGCCCAGCGAAAGGAAGAGAGCACAGCAGCAAAGGGGCGGGAAAGGGTGGGGGGAGGAGGGGGTACCCCCTCATTCTTTCTCTCCCTGGCTTCCTGGGCCTGCTTCTGCTCGGCACGAAAACAATCAAGCGTGGCACGAAGAAGACGCATGCGCACAAACATGGCACGGTGTTCAAGCATGGCGAACTGGGGCAGGGACGCGGGCGAGGTGAGCTGCAGCTTCGGCCAAGCTGTCTGCAACAGTGTTCGCAAGGACGTGCGTGCTGACGGCACGCTTAGACACAATGTCTTGTTCACCATAAGTAAAAACGACTGAAATTAGAAACGGCGGCCTGGCACACAACTGGTCGCGGATTCGTGCCCACAAATCGGCGTCAGGGCCGTGGGGCCGCTCATACACTCTAGTGTACCATACCGCTGCTAGCGGTTCGAAGTCAGTTATATACAACATATATCATGTGGTGCCTTCGAGGGCCAAAAGAAAAGCACGACCTCCTCGGGTGACCACTCGTCGAGTGCCACAAACGAGTCCGATGCTGGAGGCTTCGAGGGACAGAGGGGCGAGCGAGTCAAAGCAGGCGATAGCGAGACCCACCCGTCGAGGCCTGCACCAGTTGGGCTCCGGCGCCCTCCCGACGCGTCCCCGGACACCAGCCGAGGCTCACGTTGGGCCCCGTGCCCGAGACAGCCCCACCCGCAACTTCAGGCACGCCTTCGGGCCACCGCATGTCCCGGTGTCAATGGGTTCGGGGGCCCAGGTCCACGGCGCAGGAAGGAGGCCTCGGAGCCAGAACGCAGGAGGAGGAGGAGGAGAAGGAGGAGGAGAAGGAGGAGGAGGAGTCACAATTCACTTAGGCAATGGCGGCAGGAGCGTCTTGGGCGCTAGCCGCTCGCCTCATAGGCGGGCGATCCAACGTTCCTTTCGCACCTCCAGTGCCTATGCAACAGTGTTTCTGCATGCCGCTGGCACCTGTCACAGATCTCGGTGCCTTGGAACTTCGCAAGCAAGAGTTGTTTTTCTAGTTTTGGGCCAACATCCCGCAGAAGCGATCATGACCATGGTTTCTGACAACTTGCGTCCATGTGGGGAGACCTCGAGCTGGTGCACCAGCTTCTGAAAGGAATGCATGTCCACCCCGCGCTCGAGCCCTCCACCTGCATAATGCAGACTTGCCGTCTCCCAGCGCTTCTGGGACACTGAACGAAGCAAGTCTTCCAGCAGGTGATCATGGCGGTCGATATGCACATCGCCTGTGTAGGACTCGTCTGGAAACTGCCACTGTTCAGTAGTGCCCATGTCTGAAGTGTAGCTCCATTGGTGCGGGCACTGCGGGTCCCAGCCCGCTCTTACTAATATGAAAATCCGAGGAAGAGGATGAGGAGGAGGAGAAGGAGGAGGGGAGGAGGCGGAGGAGGAGGGGGAGGAGGACGAGGAGGAGGAGGAGGAGGAGGAGGAGGAGAAGGGAGAGGAGGAGGAGGAGGAGGAGGAGCAGGAGGAGGAGGAAGAGGAGGCGCAGGCGGAGGACCACGACGGCACTGACGACGCAGACGACGACGCCGACGACGAAGGAGAGCATGAGAGCGAACCCTGCCGAGTCTTGCCCCCGACGCTCGAGGACCAGGGAGGCACGTGTGCTGGTGCTGGGGAAACCTCCTGGGACTGGGGCAGGGACCTTTGTGGGCCCCGGAAACGGCAAGGCCGTTTTTCCACCGCTTCCAAAAAGATGTCCCTTGGAAATGGAAACGGCAAAACAACGGCGACCGGGAACGGCAAAAAAACGGCTCCAGGATTGGAACCAGAGCCCGAACCGGTCAAAAAACGGCGACGGAACCCGTAAAAAAACGGCGTCGGAACCGGCACAAAAAAACGGCAAAGGAGCCGGTAACAAGACGGCCCTGTCGTTTCCAGGGCCCACTAAGGCCGGGACCCGTGGCGGAAGCAGAACCTGCCCTTGAGTCCTCCTGCCACTCCACACCCCGGCCTGCCCGCATCCTCCGCGGCGGGCTCTCCCACCCCCGGCGCCCCAGCGCTCTGCGCCCGCGTACAACACCCCCTCGGCCAGCGGGGAGGGCCGAATGGGGCCATGCAGAGGCCCACCCGCACCGCTCCTGGCCGGGGCCCCCCCCCTGCGCCCAGGGGGGTCGGCGGATGCGCCCCCTCGGCCCGGCCAGGGGGGCGCACTCTCAGGCCCCAGGGTCGTCCTGCCCGAGAGAGAACAATGCGGGCGAGCAAGTGGCCCGCCCCGAACCTGCCGACTCACGCCCACACGGCACGCCGTGCGAGTGCGCCCCCCCCGCCCCCCCGCCGCCGCTTTTTCAGCCGAGGAGGAGGGAGCTGGAGGGGGGGCGTAGGGAGGATGGGAGGACACGGAGGAGGGCCTTGGGAGACCCTGGAGACTTGCAGGCGTTGAACGTCAGCATGCATCCTCCTGCGCCTCCCAGGCCAATCTCCATACGAGTAGCCGTCCCCTGTCGAATCCCCCAGGGCTGGCCTGGCGTCTCGCCTGAGCCTTCTGCACCAGCTGCGATCTCGATCCTCGGCTCACTGAAGCGTAACACACCCAGCACGTACACGGATGGAGGGCGGCCCGTTTTCAAAATGTGCCTGTCGGCGTGGCTCCGCGCACACCCGCCTTACATCCACGAGTCACGCAGGTGAAAAGCCGATCCTGTGTCAAACGTGGGACGTCGCCCCAGACCTCCTGAAACGAACTGCTGAAGGGTACAGCCGCACAACGGCCACGCGGATGGGGGGCGGTTCCTTTTCGAAATGGGGCTCTCGCTTGAAACCCCAGTGAGCTGCATTCCCAGACGCACAGGGCATGCGCAGTAATTGCAGGAGGAGGAGGAGGAGGAGGAGGAGGAGGAGGAGGGGGAGGAGGGGGAGGAGGGGGAGGGGGAGGGGGAGGAAGAGGAGGAGGAGGAGGAGGAGGAGGAGGAGGAGGAGGAGGAGGAGGAGGGGGAGGAGGAGGAGAAGGAGGAGGAGGACGAGGAGTGGGAGACCTTCCGACGGATGCCAGCAGCAGCTGCGCGGATGCAGGGCGGCTCCCTTTTGTTCCAAGGCGGGAGGGTCGCGGGACGCCCCCTCGCGCGCTAGGGCCCCACCATGGCGCATTCCGTAGCGGCTCGAAGCATGGAGCAGCAGGTTCTCAAGCGTAGCGTTAAGTTGGGCCTGCCCTCCTACAGGAGGGATTTTGACGAAACATAACAAATCAGTCAAACAATGTCCCCACATGGTCAAACATACCAACAAAAATAGTCCCCCGACTATGTTTTGAAACTATGTTTGAATATTCCCCCCTGTGGGGGGACAGGCCCGATTTCAGCTTAGCTCTCGCCTGAATCGTGGGCCCATCTGGCGTTCATCTTCCGATGGGGGTGCCTCGTGCACTGGGAAAGAACGAGCGTCGGGGGCTTTGCGTGAAGGGGGTCCGGAACAACGGCGTGGTTTGGAGCATCGTTGACACACAGTGGGTTTTACACTGGACTGGATCCCCCCCCGTTGCTCCTCCTCTTCATCATAACTATCCATCTCCTGCCCCTCCCATTACTCATACGTGCACACCCCACACAGCCTCCCCATGTGTTGGACAAATCGCGTGACATGCTGCTATATATATATATATATATATGTATGTATGTATGTATAAACATGTGTATATATATATATATAAATGTGTGCGAGCCTCCCATAACCACCGTAGCCTCCTCCGAAGCCACCCATGCTCGCCCGTGTCCATCCGTTGAGCTGTTCCGCCCTCCGTATCCTCCTCCTCCTCCTCCTCCTCCTCCTCCGCCGCCTCTACCTCCCCATCCCCGCCCTGCTGCTCACTCCACATGCTTGTCCTCTACATTCCTTCCTTGCCTCCTTCCTTCATTCCCTCTTCTGACTACCTACCAGACCACCCCAACCCAACCGGAAGACCCCAATTTCGGGTTGGGGGGGGTACGGGTTCCATATGTGTGTTTTTGTCAATGCTCCCCGACCCCCCCCCCACTGGAAATGGAGGGCCACCTGAAGCCTTCGGGTTGGGTTGAGAAGGTCTGCTGGGTGGTGATCTTCTCGTCATCATGTCATAGGGCGACGAGATCTATGCATATCCACCGCTCCTGGCCAGGCCCATCCTGGGCCCAGGAGCGGTGCATATGCCTCCCTGGCCAAGCCAGGAGGGCGTACACACAGCTCTTGGGCCCAGGATTGGCCTGGCCGGGAGCAGTGGATATGTATAGATATCGTCGCCCTAATGTCATATCCTCACTCCCCGCATGCACCACCCAGCGTTCCGCCAACCACCTCACCTGGCTCCTCACTCGCACCCCCCAGCTTGACCGCTGGCCCACACCCCGCCCGCCCTCCCTCGCCCCGATCCCCCCCCCCCCGCACGCCCGCGCGGGGGCGGCAACCCCGACAGGCCCGGAAGGGAGGGGCGGAAGGAGGCCACGGCACAGTGCCACGCTTCTCTGGCGGAGCACAGAAAGGGGAACAAACAGCGGCATGAACATCGGGGAACAATATGGGGGAGGCACGATACAGGAGGGGCGAGGAGGCACGAGATAGGGGAACGAAACGTGGCATAAACATGACAACTCGGAGGTCCGCGCGGACTTCTCGGATCGGCGGGGGGGGGGGCAGAAGGGGGAGGGGGAGGAGAGGGTGGAGGAGGAGGGGGAGGAGGCGGAGGAGGGGGTGGAGGAGGAGGAGGAGGAGGAGGAGGAGAGGAGGAGGAGGAGGAGAGGAGGAGGAGGAGGAGGAGGAGGAGGAGGAGATGCCCCCTGGGGGTCCACCATGAGGCACCAGCGCTCGCTGTTGGTCATGATGGCCCCGTTCTCCAGCGAGAAGCGGTCGGACGGCAGGCCCCTCGTGCACCACCGGGCGCGGTCGGCCTCTCTATCCGCGGGGGAGGAGGAGGAGGAGGAGGAGGAGGAGGAGGAGGAGGAGGAGGAGGAGGAGGAGGAGGAGGAGGAGGAGGAGGAGGAGGAGGAGGAGAGGAGGAGGAGGAGGAGGAGGAGGAGGAGGAGAGGAGGAGGAGGAGGAGGAGGAGGAGGAGGAGGAGGAGGAGGAGAGAGGAGGAGGAGGGAGGGAGGGAGGGAGGGAGGGGGGGAGGGAGGGGAGGGAGGGAGGGAGGGAGGGAGGGAGGAGGGAGGGTGAGGGAGGGAGGGAGGGAGGAGGGAGGAGGAGGAGGAGGGAGGAGGAGGAGGAGGAGGAGGAGGAGAGGAGGAGGAGGAGGAGGAGGAGGAGGAGGAGGAGGAGGAGGAGGAGGAGGAGGAGGAGGAGGAGGATGAGGAGAAGAAGGTGGGGGGGGGGGGGGGGGGCGAGCGGCCGAGGGGGGGAGAGGGAGGGGGGGGAGAGCGGAGGGGGGAGAGCGGATGGGGAGCCTCTCTCCGCAGAGCGGAGGGTTGGACGCCCGAGTTGCAGCCAGCCCATGTCAGAGGGATGCGCGGCAAGGGCGCTATGAGGCCCTGGAGGGCCACGGTGACGTCCCGTTCTCCGACGGAGGCTGGCCGGCGGAAGCCGCTGAGCATGAGCCGAAGGGGCAAGGGTGCAAGGGTACCCTTGGGAAGGTTGCCCATCCTCACTATGCGCTTTGACCGTATCCGGGATACTTGCGGTCTGGGGCAACTTCCATGTGGGCCCCCGAGTCGCGAGTCTGAAGTGACCCGTGCCTGCCCCAAGCCCTGGTGATTCAGAGGAGGGTTGGACGCCCGAGTCATCTGGAGCGACTGCGGTCCTGGGTAACTCCGGTGTGGGCCCCCGAGGCGCGAATCTGCAGCTATCCATGCCTGCCCCCAGCCCTGATGCGCCGCCGCTCTGAGATGGGGTCACTTGGTGCCGTCGCCTGGGCTCGCCTTTTGGCCTCGCCCCCATGGGACTGGGACTGGAGGCCGCGGTGAAGAAGACGCTGGAAGGAGACGACGGTTGTGGGCGATGACGGGGGTGTGCTCTGGAGGGAGCGTGGACCATTGGAACCTCGCTACCACCCCGAGCGAGGCTGAGGCAGCGAAGAGGAGGACGAGTCCCGATGAACGAGAGTCCTATGCAGGACCAGGGGAGGAGGGGACCGGGGCTCCTTCTCGCCTCCCCAGCCACTCTCCCCGCATCAAAGACCGTCGCGCGCGAGGCACTGGCGCGCAGAAGCATTTGAGAAAGCAGCATGCCACGGACCAGGGGGTACAGTCAACCCGTATCAGAAGGGTGCGCGACAAGAACGCAAGGGCCTTGCTGGGCCGTGTCGGAGCTTTCCGAGCGGGGCGCGGCCAACAAAAGCGGCCAAGGACGGGCCGAGGAGGCAAGGATGCAAGGGTATCCTTGGGAAGGCTGCCCATCCTTACCAACCGGCTTGACTGTATGGTGACATGTCGGCTTTGCCGCTGAGGCACGGAAGTCATCCGCATTTGCACGGTGGGTGTGTGCTTTTCGAGCTGTGGCACATGGCCAGACGAGGAGATTGGGTGAGGACGCGGACATCCGAGGACCAATGATCGGTGGCAACTCACGGGAGCCTCCCATACCATCTTGTCGGCTCTTGCGGATCGACGCTAGTCGACGCTAACTCGAAGCTACATCGACGCTGCATCGACGCTACTCGACGCTAGCTGACGCTGAGATTCCCAGACGCTGATCGACGCTATCGACGAAACTTGAGATGGCAGACGAGGCTCCCATGATTTGCTACCGAAGCCCACGCAGGGCTGTGGGCTGTGGTGCGGGGGGGGCCCTCGCGAGGGCGCAGGAGCCAAAAGCCGGCAGCGCCGACCACGGAGCCGATCCAGATGTGGTCCAATCGAGGCGCAGCGAGGGGCGCCGCGGAACGCGAACGGACCACCGACGAAGGGCACAGAGGGAAGAGCGCCCACTGGAAACGGCCGAGGGCGACGAGATCGAGCGAGCCGGACCGTGGGCATCGACGAGCGAGACTGCACTGCCCATGCAGCCGGGCTGCTGCAAGAAGGAACGAGTGATAAGGAACGAAGCCTTCTTTGGGCCCCAGGAGCGCCTGCGTGCACGAGGAGGGCTAGAAGAATGACCCAAGGAACAGCGGGCCCCCTCCGATCCCAAAGGGGGGTCCTTACTTCTTGGCGTCCGGACTGCAGCTCTCCTCCGCGCCCCCCCCCCCCCCCCCCCCGCGGAGCTACGCAGGCCAGCCCCGCCGCTTCCTGCCCCTCCTCCTTCTGCTGCTCCTCCTCCCCCTCCCTCTCCAATCGGCGGCGAGCCCCGGGGGGCGGACTGGCTGGTGAGTGTATGGCCCCCCCCAAGAGCCCCGCTTGCCAAAGCACGGCGAGAATATCTCGACCGTCTTTCAGGAGGTCCTGCTGCGGGCGGCGCGGCGGGGAGAGAGGAGGAGGAGGAGGAGGAGGAGGAGGAGGAGGAGGAGGAGGAGGAGGAGGAGGAGGAGGAGGAGGAGGAGGAGGCCAGATCCTCCCAATTCATTGAGCTCGCTTCGCGATCGGTCTTACCTTATCTAAGCCCCGGGGGGGCGGCAGCGAGGAGGGGGCGGGCCTCCTCAGGAGGGCTCGGAGGCCCCCGGCCTCCCGAGGAGAGCCTCCCCGAGCCTCCCCCGCAGACGCCACCAACAAAAAAGCCCCCCAGGAGGCGCGAGGGCTCCCGAGGAGTCCCGCCGCCCGCCGAGGAGGCGCTCTCCTCCTCACTTCCCCCCCCGCTCAGGAGGAGGAGGAAGAGGGGGACGAGGAGGAGGAGGAGGAGGAGGAGGAGGAGGAGGAGGACGAGGAGGACGAGGAGGACGAGGAGGAGGACGAGAAAGGTGACGAGGAAGAGGACGAGGAGGACAAGGAGGACGAGGAGGAGGGATGAGGAGGACGAGGAGGACGAGGAGCATGTGGGGCTCCCAGGGGTCACGTGCCGCGTGAAGTCGAGAGGGCTGGAGGCCCCCTCCCCCCCCCCGAGCAGGACCCGCGGGAGGGGGGGGGGGGGGGGGCACGTCTGCCGGCAGTGGCAGCGGCAGCCTCCTGACCACAGCGGGGCGTAAGAGAAGGCGGAGGATGAGGACGTTGGGAGGCAACTGCTGGGCAGGTTTTGATACATGGGATTTTTCCGGGGATGGACAGACCTCCCTTTAGCAAAACGTGGTTTAATGAAAACGACCTCGGGCCCAAACCTGGCGGGCGCAGGCCTGGAAAATGACGGCCGCGGCGCCCTCTCGAGAACCGAAAGCGGACAATTCACTAATCGACGTGTCACTGTTGGGGGTTCTGTCCAGCCCCGATTTTTAATATGAAAATCAGCATAAGATTTGTAGCACATGGCTAATTTATGAATGCGTGTAAGCATGAACTCGTCGTTGTTTTCAATTCCTAACCCCTGCATTTTTAATACATGATCCGCACGCGGAGCATGTATTAAAAACGGCACTGTACTGGGAGGCTTTCGTCGGAAAGATTAGAGAGGATGGAGCCCCATTTGGGAGCTATTACGCCAGAGTGGGCCTCGGACTGAGCAGGATTAGGCCGGATTGAGCGGGATTAGGCGAGATTGAGCAGGAGCAAGCGGGATTAAGCCGGATTGAGCCGGATTTCGGACCAGGGCCAGATCAGAATTTGACCTCCCAGGAGTTGCATCCGAAAGGATGATTGTGATGATGAGTGATGTTCGCACGCAGCTTGGCGCGCCACGTGTCTTTGTCCCAGGCCGCGAGCGAACGAGCAGCGGCAGGCAGCACCTCGAGGTGCACGCCGTGTAGAGTGACGGCCCAGACGGCGGCACCTGCAGTTCATGGTTCAGGTTTGAGGGCGAGGGCGACGAGGCAGACAGCGCGCTCTCGTGAGATCTCCCCGCTTTCTCGGTCTCCTCGCCCAGGCCAGGGCGTGTGATGACGGAGTTGGGCAGGAAGGAGCGGGGTAGGGCGACGAGGAGAAGCATGGCGAGGGCAGGAGAGGCGGTGCGACATGGGATCCGGCATACCCCAGATTTCGTAATAAAGGGAGGGGGGTCTCATTTCGGGGGGGGTCTCTTCCAGGCTATCTTGGAGGGCCTGGGGGGGTCTGGGGACGATGTTTTGGAGGGTTCTCCCACGGGGGAGGTCTGAGATGGCTTGTCTTGGAGGGTCCAGACCCTCCCTTTTATCATAAAATCTGGAGTACCCTCACACCCGAGAAATCACCTCCGCTGGCCAAGAGTGCGCAGTCTGTGGGAAGTGTTCCACCCGCCCGCCAGGGTTTGAAGCACCGGCCAGAAACCATTGGGGCGGGACTGGGCGAGCATGGCTCGCAGGGCGGGCCCGCGAGGGGCCAGGTGGGGGTACCCGAAGCGCGGGATGCCAGGCTCGCGCGCGCTTCTGCAGCGTCAGGTGCACGCGGTCAGGGTGCAGCTTTCGGGTGAGGGAGCGAGTGTACACCCCCTGCAGCTTCGGGCCGTTTTGAAGCGCCTCGGCAAGGGCGGCTGCTTGAGTGGCCTCGGCCGCCGCGAAACACGCTGAGGGGCCGAGGGGACCTTCGGGAGCGCGATCGAGCGCGTGTGATCGTGTAAGAATTGAACGATGGCGCGCTGGTCGCGCCAAAAGGGCGGGCCCCAGAGCTCCTGGACGTGCCGCACGAGCGTGTTGTCCGCCAGCGACGCTTCCGTCAGCTCGGTGCGCCCCGCGTTAAATTGTGGGATCGTCGAGCGCGCCGTGCGCCAGCTTGCTGCTGCCGCATATGCGGCGAGAGATTGCGGGGCAGCCCCTGGAGCCCATGCTCGGAGCGACCAAAGATCGGGCCCTGTTAAAGGGTCGGGCAGCAGCTGTAGCGACTCATGCAGACAGCGCGGCTCCTTCGTGAGGAGCGGTTTACAGGGCGGGAAGAGTTGGGCCACGGATCC